AGCAATTAGGCCCGAGTAAGTTTTGTGTTACATAGAATTAGTACAGTACGCAAACGCTGACACATGTATACTTCTTATAACTAAAATTTCTGTTCTTATTGTTTCAGGGCCAGCAGCACAATTGCTCAGAAAACGATCTCAAACGCTTACAAGTGGTTCCACAACATCACCACTTCGGGAGCTGGCTCGCCAACGATGTAAGCGAAATTAAAATATTGTTATTTATTATGCATGTTTAATTTTGATTTTTGAATCAAATTCATGGAATAACTCTTTTTTTTATTGGTGTTTTTTGATGTAGCACATCGACTTGGCTATGGATTTGCTACGAAATCAAGCTGAAAGACATCCAAAATCGTTCAACATTTCTGGCCGACTCATATTGAACACCGTTGATATTGAGTACCAGTCACTCCAAACTATGGGTAACGAGTACACGGTGTCAGCATATATGATGAAGTGGGTCGTAGAGATGTGGTCGAGTGTCGGAAAAAAGCCATGGGAGGGCATACGCATCTGTACATGCCAGTGTGTGTGAATCGTCACTACATTGTAGTGGAGAGCATATTCACCGACTCTACTATGTATGTGTACGACCCTGATCATTCGTGCCTGACACAAGGTCAACTCTAGCGAAATCTAGAGTCGGTGTCTTGATTGTTCCCATGATGGCAAAACGAGCGAATATCACTGTGCAGGACAGACTGGCCACCATGCAGGACACGACGACGGCGAGGCAACAAATATCGTAAGTATTTGTAATTTTATTTTTTTAATTTACAACTTAGATTCTGACTAGACGGTGATGTGCTAAGACAATATTGTTTAATTGTAGGGGTGATTGCAACATGTTCGTCATCAAGTACATAGAATTTTTTACTGTAGCACATAAGGTTGATGCAATCAACCAAGCATGGATATAAAAATTGGAGAAATAAATTAGCATGTGATTTATTTGAATTTAATGGGGATTCGTAAAGAATTGTACATATTTTTACATTTATTTCAACATTGTACATTTCATTCATTCATTTGAAATTACGAAAGAATTGTAAAATATTAATTATTTATACAATATTTAATTATTTATTTTACAGTTTATGTGTCGATTTATAATCTTTGTGTATATTGTGGAGAACGCAATGTGTCTAAAAAAACTTTGAATACTACAATTTCAAATAATTAACATAAATAATATGCATAAATAATGTGGGTAACAAATGAAACTAATGAATGAAATGTTTAAATAAAAAACTGAATCTAATAATTAGCATAAATAATATGCTTAAATAATGTACGTCAATGTTATAAATAATTACATTATCAATAGTTATTAACAAATGTAAAATTACACATCTTTTACACTGTCATGTAGAGAAATCTGAGATATACAATATCTTCTAGTATGCCCTGTTGCATTGCACCTACCACACTTATGAGGCTAAAAAAACTCTCCAGTAGATGATATTCTAGATGTACGTGTACGTTCAGGAGTACGTGGTCCGACTGCTAGCGGCAACGAGTTATTCAGTGAGAGAATGTGGTCGGGAACTTCCTATTCAACTTTGTTTGGTATAGAAAATATTGTTTCGATATATGCTGCTCTCCAATAATCAGTCATGTAATAAGCACTGCATAAGATGTGTGGAGAAAATCCTTTATGCATAGCCACTGCCACTGCATGTGTACACGAAAAACTCTTCAACTGAAACTGTCTACACGTGCACGTGTTATCATTCAAGTCCACGATGTATCCGAAATTGCGTGCACATCTCACGGAGAAGAAAAAACTGATCCAGTGGTTCTACAAATACATTTTTTGTCACATCTAGAGTTTTGAAGAGTTTATCTTCTTGAGCCGGGGTTAGCACAACTCTGTGATTCCTCACGTCGACCATGAAATAACTGTTGTAACTTGTCATGATTGTTCTTAATCATTGCGAGAATTGGTAACTCTCAATCTTTCTTGAATAAAGTATTAAGCTACTCTACATTGTTCGACGTCATCATGTTGTCTCGACGTCCTGAGAAATGTGATCGTGCCCAATGTTTGATCTTCATCTCTGTTAGATACTCCTATGCAGCATGTCATTTACTGTCTATTTCGACCATGAACTTCTCAAACTATTCAAAACTGTAAGCATCTGCAGCTCTCCTAAACAACGCAAGATGCCCTTTGCCTCGATACCTGGTCTTCAAGTTTCCCTATATATGGTACATACAATAATCATGATGTGCCTCGGGGAAAATTTCGGCGATACCATTTATTATTAACTGCCCTCGATCGGTTACTATTGCAAGGTTTATTACATCCCCAATTACTTCCCTCAACTTCGTGAAAAACCAACTCATCGCTAGATCATTTTCTCCATCGACTATGCCGAACGCAAGAGGGTAAATTTGGATGTTGGTATCTGACATGTTGTAATAATCAACTTGCCCTCGTATCTCGCCTTAAGAGTTATCCCGTCGACTAGGATTAGAGGTCGTATTACGTTTCGAAATCCTCAAACGCATTGTCCAAGGGCCATAAAGAAATACTTGAAGCGATTCTCGTCATCCTTGTCAATAAAAAATGCCGACCCGATATTAATTATTCCCATGTTATAGTAATACCTAGTCAATGTAAATAAATAATAATCATAATTTAGATAATTTATTAAATATTAAATGAACAGAAAAATAAACAAGTCAATTAAATAATTAGTTACATATTAAATAAACAATTAAATTACATAATTACAAAAACAATTGAAATAAAATAATTAACAATTAAAATAACAAAAAAATAAACACCTAAACAATAAAATACCTGGCCAATTTAGCATAACTCTCCTCGATTGAATCTTTCAAGTCCTCCAATGTGCATACTTTGACCTTTCAAGCCTTTTGATAGCTCATGACCACCTCGTATTCCCGCCTAACGTCATTAATGATGTCCGAAGGTTTGTAGATTGTTCATAGGTCCTGAAACTTGTGTATTATTTCTCAAACAATGAACCATGATCGGGCCTGCCCATGATCATTTCGATGGATACCCACTTCGCAAATATGTTCCCGTGCATACTTACGAACTACAAAGAACTTATTCGTGTCCATCTTCATCGTTCGCAAACGCCAATGGCAACTTTCTTCAAAGCAGATAATTGTGTACGTCGACTTGTTTGATTTCTTCACTTTAAACTCGAAATTATGCTTTAAAGCAATCCAGGGCGTAGCTCTTGCAATTCTTTCTTTGATTCGAACAGTTGCTGATATATACATCTTCGTCATTGGAAACCACACGTGAACAATTAAAGGACCATGTACTTGGTCCGGCCTGTGAGTTCCCACCGGACTCATGTCTCCTACGGGATAAAGCAATCAAATCCTCGTTTGCAAATGCATTTTCATTTTCATTGTCTTCAACTGCTGATGGAATTATGTGCGTAACAGTGTGATTGTGGTAAGTAACAGTGGTATCAGAGATAACCACATCATCTTCATGAATAATCTGAATTGTATTCCGAATATCATTTACATTACGATTCTCTTCATCGAAAATTTCGTGTTCACCCTTGAGGACATTATTTCTCAATAAAGTTACTTGAATAGGAGTCGACTTTTGACCTTGGTTCAATTTAATTAGATGCTTCATCTTCACTTCAAAAGTAACTTTTATAGGTAGAATCGAAATGGTTGAATGCTTATGAGACAAAAATCTCGATTCCATATCGTACTGTAAGGGATCGACATTAAGCATGTTTTGTATATTATGGTACATTTCTGTAAACGATGTATTCCTTGTTATAAAAATTGTTTTAACCTCATCTCCTTCACTCGTCTATTTCCATTCCTACTGAGCATTTTCATTCTTTAGAAATTCACCTAAGTAACAAATTAGGACATATGCTGATGCCATATCTGCCACAAATTAAAAATATTAGAAAATAGATTAAACATAAGGAATTATTATATAAAATTTTAAATTGTTCATTTTATATTTAATTTAATTTTTTACTTAAAATAATTCATTGATTATTTTAATTGTTTCAAAAATATTTATTTCAATTAGTATTAAATATTCATTAATGTTTACTTTAATAAACAATATACATTGATTATTTTACTTGTTTCAAAAATATTTATTTCAATTAGTATTAAATATTCATTAATGTTTACTTTAATAAACAATATACATTGATTATTTTACTTGTTTCAAAAATATTTATTTCAATTAGTATTAAATATTTATTAAATTTACTTCAATAAATAATATACATTAAATATGAACAAATAAATTATAAAATGTTAAACATTTAAAAAAAAGGGCCGGCTGGAAACGGTCGGCTGTTTCCAACCGGTCCAAAACGTTTGTGCCGGCTGGATAAGTGCCGAAACATTTTTTCAAATGTTTTTTCCCAACGAAATAATGTTTAAATATAAACTTTACAGACAACTATGAATTTTTCCTAAAATAATAAGCATACAGATGATTTTTTTCTTCCTTTTTGCTAAAAAAAATTATACATCTATTTAATACTGTAAAATTTCATCCGCCTTTGTCGAAATAAGATTTAAACAATCAAACAATATACTAATTTAACTAAAACGAAATTAAAAATATGCATTTATACTTATCAATTTCGAGTGCCAACTATGAGTAGTTTTTTTTGTTGAACCTTTGATAATTTTGTGAGATTTCAATGTTCTAACAAATGGAAAAGAATTTTTTTTTTTAACAGTATTGGAGAAATTGATAAACACAATTGATTTTAAAATTTACGTGGAAAAGTAATTGAATTTATTTAAACTTTTAATAGTATTATTGTCTTTCAAAAAATTAATATGTTTTTGTAATTATGGAACATAATAAGAGCACAATTGTCTTTTTCAACACAAGAAACCAATGTTGTGAATGCAAAAATTAAAAAAGTTTGGTCAAAGTACAAAACGTGTTGTTTGACTGAGCCAATTTCAAAAGTACCCCGAATAACAGTGATGGAATAAACGATGAGACATAAATGGTAACAAACCAGTGTAATTCAATCAGGAAATAAGATGTTGGGGATGTTTCCTGTACAATCTCCAGTGCTAACAAATACATCTACCATTCGGATTAGTCAAGCGAAACTTGGACGCCGAGTTATCAGAGAAAAAAAAGGGTACATCTACCATTCTCCGCATAAACCTAAGTCACATATTTTCTCAAAATCCTCCAACAGTGGCCTGATCAATCGTCATTTACATAGAATTTAAGGCCTACAGTCGCTTTACACCCAATCGTCCTGGAGTGGACAATTTAGATAGTGAACTTGCCCAGTTTCTTCTTCTTTCTTCAGTGTTGGTAGCCTCACGACGGACATGGGAATGTTATAATTACTGGGGGCAAGTGTTGAGCATGAAAAGCCAGTTGGCAGTTTTGATAAATTTTCAGTGATAGAACACAACTTTAAATTTCCAATGATACTCCAGAAAAAAATTATAAATGTTTCTTCCATATACCCAGAAATCCATTTGCAAGAGACTTCAAGTTTTCCCAAACTGATGATTTCCCTTGAGATTCAGCATCTTCACTTGGCTCTTTGTACAACTCCCTACGTCAAAAAAACAATCATGACTTTTTAACGAGTCTTAGAACGTACAACGTTCCATGTAAAAGTAGACAACAATTTTCGTAATATAACTTATTAATGAACTGGACATTCCCTCCGTGTGATATAACTAAATGCGTATACATAAAAACACACAGAGATTTCAGCCTGCCACGAGGAAAAAGAATGCCAGATGGCAAATTCCATCAGTTAACATAACTATGGTATAATTCAAATACAATGAATATTGCCCGCTCAAATAGATCTGAGCTATTGCTGACAGTGCATAGGATAGTATTAATCCAAATTTTAGAACGCAACAACGGCAAAACACGTCAAAGTATAAACCTGAAATAATGAGAATTACCTTGATGACTTCCGTTGCTTAGCTTCGGGCTTCAAACCATCAAATTTTAGCCTATCTTCAGACCCTGTATCCTCTTTCACATTATCCTCAGGTTTATCAGAATGTGAATGCAAACTTTCTTCAGCTTCTCCTACTCCTCGATGAGGTTTAGTAGCAATGTAGTTAGAATTTTGGTTCTCCATCGAAATATCGTTACGGATTTGACCATCTTCACTAATATCTGCATCGAATGTAGATAAATTGCCTGAAACTTCTGCAGCATCAGTTGAAGACTCGCTGCGATTGATGAATTCTTCTCCCACTAGAATTTCATTTGTCTTTTGAGCATCTTGAGAAGTAACAGAACAGCCTGACAACTCTTCAGTGGACATTGCATTCTTCTTCATACTATAGTTTTCCACTGAACTTGAATCCTTTGTGCACATGGATGACATTTTAGAGTTGTATTCCAGCTCCTGAAGGATCTGCCTGATAACATAGTAAGAGCCACCAGTCTCTTTCCTAGCCTTGGAGGCAGTTGGGAACTTCCCTGCATTCATGGCTTTATACCTGCCAACCAGTAGAAGACAATTAACTTATATTACTACCCTCATAGAGAAATGTCACCAATAAAATTAGAACTCAATAACCATACCAAATTAGTTCTAAGACGCACCACTAGATTTTGAATATTTTATCTAGTGTTTTTAATCAAATATAGCTTAGGAGAGAAGTTACAATAACCATGAGTCGCGATCCTAAAACACACTTGCAAACTTACTGCAATACACAAGGAGTATAGCCACTCCCTTCATAGGGTATATGTCTCGATGTAAAGAATGCATGAATAGCACCATATTAACCACCATCCCAGTACCTCTCAAAGGGAAGTAAAAGAGAAGATCTATTTCCCTATGCAAGTTTCTCAGACAATTTTTGTGTCGAGAGAAGTAATAAAAAAAGAGCGCTCCTTCAATCCCATACAAAACTAGATAGCATTTGATCCTAAATTTCATCTTACAATGTAAATTTCATTACTAACTTTGCCAAAAGTCAGGCAATCTAATTGACATCTTTGACTAAAATGACTTCTAAGAGAGTAATCACCAAGTACAAAATTCTAATAACTTCAAAGCATATTTTATTACAGTTCAGCAACTATATTGATCCGAAATACCCTTTTATGAAAGTATGAAATGTGGTTACACAATGTTCTGTCAGTTGAGAACAAAACAAAATACCAAGATTCCATTTGGCATCAGGCATCAGCTTCTCTTCAAACTGATCATAAGATATCCAAATAAAGACAAGAGAGAGCTCTACAGAAACAATGAAAGAATACATTTCCGATGTATTCATACACGTAATCAGCTGCAGATGACAATGTCAACATAAGCTAGCAACTGAAAACAAAGCAAGCGTGAAAGAAAGATACTTGTTAACAAAAGTTTCCACCATGGCTTTGCGTTCATCCTTCGAGACCTTTTTCTGAGATTTTTGGACTTTGGGCGTTTCAGAAGGAACGGAAACAGAAAATGACCTTCCACGTGACTTTATAATAGATTTGTGTCTGATACTGGATTTCTCAACGTACACTGCAATGCACCAAGATGGAAAATTTTATTCTCTTGACAAGAAATTGCATAGGATTCAGTGTTTTCTCGAGTTAAACATGCAAGAAAAAGTTCAAGGCAAAATCATTATCATCTGTAGCGGCAATAGAGTAGGATCATATTGCATCTAATCTCCAATCACAAGAAACTGGGCAGAAACTTTATTGTATCAAATATGAGCATGACATAAGCACGAGTCTACATTTTAGTTTTCTGGAATTTTTAAGATTTCTTCCACATAAATATTTTTTCTAAAACTTTTTTCTATTGTAGTTCAAAAAAGATAGAATAAGTAACTCAATCAAATATAAGTGAATGTTAGATTTCATTTTAAGTGAAAGTAGATGCAATGACAGTTTTTTTCTTGTTTAGAAAGTCCATCTAAGAGTTTGTATGCTCCTACCCATGCTTCTGGGTTTGCATAACCCCTTACAATGAGGGGGGCGTGAAGCCTTACCTAAAGAGTCACATCAAGAGGAGGAAGAGAAGGCTTGAAAATAAATAAATAAACCATGTGGAAGTACTACTCCTATTACAATAATACTAAGCAATAAACTTTTATGTGAATAAGTCGTGGGGGGATTACCTCTGTCACGAGGTGTAATGCTAGTTTACCTATCCAATTTATAATAAATTGAGAGAGTACTAATTATATGGCATATTTCTCATGAAAATGGCGCACGAGCTTCTACCCAGAAGAAGGACACGATCCACTAAAACAAGAAGAGGAATAAATGAATGAATTGGCTAAAAATGATTTGATTTTTATTGGATTTGTAACAGTGAAAATAAATTAGATCCCTATGCCATACTAAATTTATTGAGTTTATGGCTTAACATGGTCCTAATGCTCATCCAAATTTATACATCCCATGCGCTAGTTTTAACCAACTAATAAATTATTTACACGCCTTACACTCCAGGTATATAAATTCAACTTAAACTAAAACCAAATGCAGTTGTAGCGTTATTTTCTGATAAATTGTCAATGAACATTTCAACTGACAATTTATAAAATAATAATAATAATTATACCTTGACGGGGATTTGCAATATGCCGTCGAAATTGACGATAAAGGCGGACGTTGGGAGACCAGAACATACTCCGGACAAGTCTCATATCACCTACAATAATGAACTCCGGTTGATTTATACTTTAACTTTGAAGTAAAATGATAATAAACGCCAACCCACTCCACAAAAATTAAAATAATACGAAGAAAAAAGATGAGTAAACAGAACTTGTAGATCTTCAAATACCAAAATAATTGTTGCGGTGGCGTGCGGCGTAAGGAGGCTTGGAGGAGTGGTGTAGAAAGCACAGCGAAGCGCTACAATGGGGTTTTAAACGGGGGAAACTTAAGCCTCGTGGAATTTATTTGGAAATTCAATAGTATTTTTTTGAAAAAATGCGAGATTAAAACTTAAGAGAATATAATTTATTTATGTATATAATATTTTATTGGGTGAATGTACAATAAATAATGATACTATCACAATTAATTTAAATTTTTAAAGAATGGCAAATAGGGACTAAGCCTTGCTCAATGCTCAAGAACTCGTTTTTGAAATAAATGTTTGAGTCCATTGTTTAAAATTTAATTCCTAAGAATTTTTGCAATAAATAAGGATCAAACGGAAAAAAACCAATATAATTTTTTGACATCTGGATGATTTTTTGACAATGTGTTGAAATGTCGAAAATGTATTAGGAAACATGAAATCTAGGTCATGTTTGACTCATACTTTTAAACATTGATTTGACATTATTTCAACGACGCATTTTAAATAAAATAATAGTACCCATAAGTAAAAAACTTTTAATAAATTTTAATCACATTTCTCATCAATACACTATGCAAGAATGCATTTTAATGCAAATAATGTGGCTCAAATAAGGGCCTAAACTCATTTGCCCCTCCCTCCTATTTCCTTACAAGTTGAGAGGCTCTTGAGCTACAATTTGAGAATTTAACAGATTCTCGAACCCCTCTCAAACACAATATGGAGATTGGAGGGTATATCGAAAGAAGAGATACGAAAATGAAAAAAAGAGATTGGAGATAGAGGGTGAGCGAAGGAAAATTGGAAATAGACTTAAACAAGTCGACAATCAAGCGAAAGTACATTATACTAAACGATAAAAAAAAAAAAAAAAAAGGAAAGTACATTATACTATACATTTTCTCTTTAGCATTTTAGACTTTTAGATTAACTTTTTTTAAGTTTAACATGTTATATTTTGACCTTTTGCAAAAGAACTAGTTTGGAAGGACGCATTAGTATCTCGTTGCTTAAACTAATAAAGGCAGACGAGAAGTCATGATCTAAACGCTTATATACGAATTGACCTTCCTCCGAAATAAGGAACATAAATACTATGTAACAGTAACACAACATATATGTCCTCAAAACTCATTATCCTGAATCATTAAGAAGTATATGTTAGGACTTGGGAAAGTGAGAATTTCCACATCAGCTAAACATCGACTTGAACTACTCCACCGAATAGATTATTAACATTTTGGGAATGAACCCCAATTTGAGAGACATATGGTCTTTCAACAACAATCTTAAAAAAGCTAAGTCTTAAAATTTCAAATTCACAGTACTGATAATTACTTTTAAGCTATCAGGCTTTCTTCGCCTTGTCCTGCTTTGTTGGGGGCGGGAATAGAAAGCGGAAGGTCCACGCAGCCAATATTGCTCCAGTGAATGGACAGATCCAGTAAACATAGAATTGCTCCCATGTGTTGTGCTTATTATATACATATGCCCACCCGAATGCCTGCAATATATTAGACACGATTAGCATCCAATTTTAACACAAGCTTTGCGGAAAATAGCTAATAAAAATAATAAGAACAGGTTAAGAATGATGGAATTACACAAGATGTTTGGATGTTAGCACACTTGCAAGAAACTAAACTAAACCACAGCAATCCTTGCCGTAGTAGCTATGGAATTACACACAGGAATCGAAACTATCACTAAGCAAAATTATCTTCTGAAAATTTTGAGGATAGAGAAGTCAGATTAGGAGGAAAGAGAATCAAGAAACTAAATGCAAATATAAGACTTCAAAGAACAACTTTGACTTTCCATATTCAAGAAAACACATAAAGAAAAATTTGACAGCAGTTACAGATCAGAACTCTTATAATGTCCTGAAACGGTACCTCAATTTTTATTATATTAAACAATTCTTTGCTCGGCAAAACTGCCAATATCTAAAGAACAGTTTTGATAAATTTATTCAATTTTTAAACTGCTAGTTATACTTCAAAAGTTCTCGGCACTTATTTGAGTTCAAGATTTGAGCCTAGTGATTCAAATATGTAGCTAAATAGAAGTTTAGATCAGCTAATTAGTAAGCTCAAATTGAATAAATTCGAAATTAGTTAATTTGCTATGTAACAGACCGCATCCCATTCATTCCACTTGCAACAATCCAATTAATTCAGCAGTTATACAAATTAATTTTAATTTCTCCCAAAGTGGAATTGGGATTCGTTAAAAGAACCGGCACAATTGATGGAATGTTATTGGATTCCATCTTCTTAAAGGCATACCATAGTAACAGATGAAGAAAGGGGACCAAATAGTTCCAAAGAAAAAAGATACAAACAAAAGCATCAAATACTTTTTGAAAGGACCTACTTTAGAATACAGGGAAAAAAGAGGAGGAGAAAAGGTAAAAACAGCAGAGGCACCAGCACGTGGAAGTTCTATCCAGACAGAGTTTTCCAAAGAGGAAAGAACATCTGTGTCATGAATCTGTGAAGTGGTTTTTCTTCCTTCCTTAAAAGTTAAGATAGACACTGAAACTGAGCAGCTCTCGACACAGTATTGCATGGCATACACAACTACCTCCTCTTGACCTACGTGGGAAACTCCAAGAATCTCTTACCAATACAACAAACAGTAGATCCTACATGCATTATCAGGTTAACTTCTTGTGTATACAACTAGTTAAGTACTGCAATCGTTCTTTACCTTTAGTAGATTTTGAATTCATTACCAATATACATTTACAGCAGGCAATTTGTTAGATGAAATTTACAATGCCATTGAATTTAAACTGTACATGACTTGGGATATGTACACTGGCTAAGAAGATAGAATCAAGAGTTCCATGTAACTTTATTACCAGATCACAGTTAGGTTGAGTTATGACAACTCATCATAAATTGTAGCACGTCAACCTCTACGGGATGGGGCGATTTATCTTGGTTGCCAAAATGAGATTTTGGGTTTGACATGCAGTGTGTACATGGGGTTCGATGCGTTGAACAAGACCCAGACAGAAAATTCATATACAATTGCATCAGTTAGATTGGTTTTCTTCAAACTACTAAAGCATGTATGTCTTTAATCTTAAAAAGAAAAATAGATTCAAATCATAAGATTTATTACTTTGAAATATCAACAGAAGAGATCTTACTTACGGCCAATACCCTCAATAAGTTGAGTGAAACATCTTTATGGTTATGGAATTAAATATTGTCAATAGGCACCAGATATCTCTTAAAGCGTGAATGAAAATTGTTTATAAATGGTTTAAACCATAAATAGATACAAATGAGTGGTGGATAAATAAGTAGTTTGGTAGGTCCCATGAAATGTGAGGAAAAAAATTATTTCAGTGTTTATAAACATGAGTCAAACATAGGCTCACAACAGACATCATGCGTATAATCATTCAATATATGATTATTGTATTTTAGTTAACAGATATTAGATATTGGATTTCAAATATGGATACATATCTGATGGAGAATTAGGATGGATTCAATTAGTGATTTATTTAGAGTATTTTCTTACTTCAATTATAATTAATTCAAACCCTACATAAAGGGTCTATGCAATGTAATTGGAAATAACCTTTGATTATGAAATAAATTGATACTCTCCCTATTTCTCTCTATTCTCTCCCCCTTCTCTTTTCCCCCCTCATTTCTTTTTTTTCTCTCCCCTTTCCCCTTCTCCTTATTGTATCCTACATCAATTTGGTAGTAGAGCTCAATTTCTTTCCCTTGACCGACAAATTTCACTTCCACATTTAAACCACCCGTTTCATCATTCAACAATCAAACCATAGCCGCCAACATATCCGGCCAAAACCTACTTTAAACCACAAAAAAGGTGGCAGCAGGCATCAACCAAAAAAAAAAAAAAAAAAAAAAAAAAAAAAAGAAAGAAAGAAGAAGTTATTGCTCATTGTACTATTAGTGGATACTGTTTACACCGTGAAATTTTTAATTTTAGTATTTTCATCAGTTTCTGAAAAAAATAGTACAATTTATTTTTGATCAGGCCAATTTGGTTGCTTTCAACCGAAGAAACCCTATATTACCCACCTATACGAACCCAATAGCCTATACATCAAGCAAGACCAAGCCCATACCAACCTGGCCCACTAGATAATTTCCCCAAACCCTAATTTGTTACACCAACCCACTAACCCATATACATATACACACATTCGCCAACATCCAATGGCCCAATGAAACCCATAACCAATTACCCTAACCCAACCCACTAACCAAATATTATCATCCACCTATCCAAAACACAAGCAACACAACACATACCCAGCCCACATCAAATTCTAAAATACACGTATAGTACCCATCACATAAAAGTCCATCCTATACACACCAAATACCAGAACATCTGTAGCCATGACTGCCTGATTCCTCGGTGCCGGCCCACTTCCATCACCAACACGCATCGCTGTCACTGCACAAATCTGTATCTCTCTATTCTTCAACACTTTTCCTTCACACTCTCACAATCCTCCCTAATATTTCAATTAACAATGATCCCCAACTAGTTTTGGATTTTTCTCCCATCCAAATTATTCCTAATCTACACTATAGTTTCCATCTCAACAATTCGCTTGGTCACTGCAAAATCACTCAATCTATATCAAAAGCTCACATGTTTTACTAAGTTTTCTTTCAATTTCAGAGCACATTTGAGCTGCAGAAGCTTCATCCTTTTACATAGACGAACCAACAAGAGTGTTTATAGCAACTTGCGGTTAATTCCACATACTGGCTTATAGTTTATTTTTCAGATTATTGGGCAGCAGAACTAAATTGCACCGCCACAACTTGTGTCTCTCGTGAGCTAGCAGTTAATTTTACAATAAAGTGTATAATCTGTCAGATTGGAACTTAAAATTGGTGCTCAACCAGCGGCTTGATTGGACTTTTGTAAGGTATATCATCTTGTTATTTGAACGCTTTGCTTTTCATTTCGGTGTTCGTAGCCCATCAAACCTCATTTTTATAATAATAAAAAAAAAAAAAAAAAAAAAAAAAAAAAATGTCATCGTACACTACATACACTTCATGTAACAACAGTTACGCCCACAACACATCCTTAGGTCACTACCACAACCATATACCTTCACTTTGCACTTATCCGCGCAATTTTCCCCGTCTAATACCTTTGTCAAAAAAGGTACATTCTTCTCCTCAGCAAGTTGCAATCCACCTATAGGACTTTAATGTCTCACTGGATCTGATTCAGTTCTTGATTGGCTTGATAATCTTGAAAAATTCTTTTTCTATCACAATTTGAGTGATGCATGTAAAATTTGTCATGCTAGTATATATCATCGGTCGATTCTACTAAAATTTATTGGAGATCATATTTGCATAATCGTCTAGGCCAACGCAGTGTCACCTTGTGGGATGAGATGAAACAAGTCCTAAGTAATAAATATGCATATGTAAATTATCGAACTCAATTGTTAAATCAATACTTTTTGCACTTTAGGCAAGGTACGTCCACTGCTAGTGCATATTTTGCCCACTTCGAAGAGTTATTGAACAATTATTATATTTATAAGGCTCTCTACATCACAACATCTAGGTTTATCAATGGTTTGAATCCTGAAACTTTGCCTAATGATATTCCTACATTCCAATCCTTAGACAAAGCTTACCAACAGGACAACCTATGGAACTTATCCTTCCATCTTCGCGAAGCGTGTCATAAGCTAGGTCTACCACCCATTTCCAACAATCATCTCTTGAGTCTAGTTGTATTGCTCTTGAAGAAGAAATTGAGGTTTCTATCGTTGAGTCAATTGAATATTCTAATATCGAGGATGGGGAATTATCTATATTATTGTCACCTGAGTCAAACAATCCACCTATCCACGACTACGTGCCAAAATTGATCTTGCCTAATCTGTTGTATGACTCTATCGTTGACTTTGATATTGTTTTACCTTTACTTTGTGATGCTTCTCGGGTTACCACATTATCTAATGTCATTGTTCGTTCAAACACTTTTCTTACACATGTAGAGAAACGATTAAATTTCTCACTTGAATTTAATCTATTAGATTGGCCATCACACTTAAATGAGGGTTTTATTTTCAATATAACAGAATTGTTGCCTTGTCAGGGTACATTCGAGCCACCATTGTTGCATTTATTCATTTCTGCAAGCTAGTCGATTGTGCTAGTACCTTGTGCCCTTCAAGTGGATCTTGTAACAGTTTTTGTAAATGAGTTGCACAAGTTGTGGCTTCCTAAAGTTCCTTATTGCTATTTGGTTATGAGCCCTTTGGTCAAATTGGAAGTTTGTGAATGTTTTTCAGGTTCAATTATTGATATGTGAATGGGTCCATTATTTGGTGAAGAAGAAACATTGCCCTCCTTGGGTAAGAAGTTGCAATTTATTTTGCTGGAGTCGAGTTATCTCAGCTTAGGAGAAATGATGGAGAATTAGGATGGATTTTAGTATATTTAGTTTTCATTCTAAAGTTTATTTTAAGAAACATAATTAGTTATTTATTTTGAGTATTTTCTTACTTCAAATATAATTAGTTCAAACCCTATATAAAGGGTCTATGCAATGTAATTGGAAATAATCTTTGATTATGAAATGACTTGATGTTCTCTCCTATTTCTCTCTATTTTCTCCCCCCTTCTTATCTTTCCGCCTCCTTTCTCCTCTTCTCTCCCTTTCCCTTTCCCTTTCCCTTTCCCTTTCCCCTTCTCCTTATTTTATCTTGCATCAATATTGGTGGTCACATTGTAACACCACGAACTTTTTATGGGTCACTTAGCAAATGAAACAATTCATGTTTAGATTTGTCGTTACACTAAAAGTCCAAAAATTGATGATTTATTTTGCTCATGTGTACTTAGAATTTATCGTAAATCTTATTTGGGTCGAATATTTATTTACGTATTTTAGAAGTTGATAAAATATAAATATTATACTCGTTTTATCGCTTGTATTAAATAATATAATTTGGAATCAAGAAAAAGTAATTTTTAAACTAGTTATACCCGAGATATTTTGTTATAAAGAAAGCATTCTAGATTTTATATTTTGTTTATAAGCAAAATATAAATAGTAATAAAATAATAAATCAAAACTTTCATTTAATTCATATTGGTACGTTGGAAATTGAAAAGAATATCACGAGCCTATTAAATCTAATATATATATATATATATATATATATATATATATATATATATATATATATATATATATATATATATATATAGGTGATCTAACTAGATTATAATTCCCAGAAAAAAAGGGTGCACTCCCTATAAATTCACATACACACAATCTATTAGAAATAATTTATTTTTCTATTCTACAAACCATATTTTCATATTTTGTTTTGGTATCATTGAGGTAAGAATACATCGTGCAAAATGGTAAATTCTTATTCCTTGATGTTTGTATAATTTTTGGCATAAAATGCTATGAGGCCTTCAGTCGAACTCTATGTTAAATCCTTCTAGATGGACCGTTAGGTCAAAAATGTTAAATCCTACGGGATGGACTGTTTAGTCAAAAATGTTAAATCTTAGGGGATATGGGAATTCTTAATAAATTCCTTGAACTCTAAATCTAAGAAATGTCGATATATTATGTCAGTTTTATATTTATATCGTGTTAATAAAAATGTGCTCGTATTCTTACTGAATGTTTTCAAAATACACTTTTACAATACCTTTCAGATGAGAACGGGTCGTTTGGAGGCATATAAGATTGACCGAGTGTAGCTTATGGGATCGCCAAGTAAATTTTCTGAAAAAGATAATTGTCAAACTTTTATTTAAAGAACATCTTCATATTGAATTTTGTGCACATTATTTAATAGTTATTTTTATGCATTTTCAACACTTAATGAAACTGATATTTCTTTTTAAATTAGACAAAGAAGATGTTAGTAACACCTTGAGCCTATTTTTATAAAAGAATAAAATAATGAAGATGAAAAAGATCTCGAAGCGTTACACACATGGTTCGAATTAGTGAATCAAGGAAGATTGGAATGTCAAAATGTAACCTAAAAGGTTGATAATTTTCCATTTCTATGGGTCGAGGATATTCATTCCATAAGGGCATTCAAAGTTATTGGTAGGTTATGGACAAGATACAATAATGTTACTTCAACATAATTTGCCCAGTATTCAGGGGATCTCATTAGAGCTTAGATACTTTTGTTCGTCCTAAGGTCATTGGCCAAACCATTGGTGGTTAATTACTCAGAATTGCCAAGTGATGATTTAATTGAGTTTTAGAGGGTATTTATATTTGGATATTTTATTTTTAACTAAGCACATACAAAAAAATAGAAGGTTTCCTAATTGGATTAAATACTAACTCATTATAAATTATTACTTATTAGTTTTAGATACCTATTTATGTTTTTCAATATAATAAAGTTTTGACATGTGGGAAAAAAAATAGGAACTCAAAAAAAAATGAAAACTAAAAATTCATATTTTATTCCAAATGCATGTATAAAAATCAGACATTTTGTCTGACTAATATGACTAAGTATTGGATAGCTTGGATTTAATTTAATCCTAAGCCCTTTAATTTGCTTGTGATTATTCTCTAATCTCCATCCTTATTCAGGCTAGCACTGTGGTGAAGTGAGAAACTTCCTTTTTGGTTCATCTCAAGTCTCAAACTTTTTATTCTCACAATTCCTTCATTGCGTCGGGCATATTTCAATTGTTCAGCAATTGTGTAGTAGATTATTAGCGAAATGGTCATGACATAATTAATCCATTAATGAACCTAATTTATGGCCACAAAAATAGTTGAGAAAGACAGATTACTTTTTCAAGAAAACTCTGCAGTAGTTTACTTCCAGACAGAATTTTAACACACTTTCCCCAGAAAACTTCATTAGTTTAATAGCGTGAAACTTGAAAAAGATACACATTGAACTTGAGTTGGATATAGGTGCCCAAGTCCCACGCACCAAAGTGAATAAATAGTAGCTTCGGTTGGAAGAAACCTAAGTATTAGAAGCTTGAGCTGAAAATTTTAAAGTCTTCATCATTCTTCTTCATATGTAATTTTATCATTTCTCTACTAATTAATTGAAGCATGCATTCTATTGCGTGCTCAGCATGCGCTATTCAATTCCAATGCAACTTTCTACAACCGGTTATATAACTGATGTACCAGCAAGCTTTTCATCTCTCCAAAATTGACTTTCCCAAGACATTGTCCTTATTCCTACAGCAGATGTTATTTCAACAAATGCTCCCAAGTAATGGCTGAGTCTGGAAATCAATGCCACTACCAGACCATAATGGTCAAAATGAGCAAAAGCTAAAACTATATTCTTTGAATCTGAAAGTTAATGATCAAGCTGGAGTTTTCAGGACTCAATACGAAAATGATTGGTTATTCCAAGGTTGGAGAAAAATCCAATCATGTGGAAAGTGATCTGAAGTTTACGATAGATGGAACTTCCAAACCCACTTAAGGTCAATGTAAAGGAAAGGGCTACTGTTTTGCTGTGGGTCCTAATTAGGGTAACAGCACTTAATCGATCAATCACAAGGTGGCACATAGACGGAAAGAGAAACTTGGTAGTTGAGGATAATTTGACATCCCACAACAGGACAATAATGATGCGACTCGTGGACCTCTTAAATGGAAATATGGGAGCCAAATGCGAGCAGTACTCTAAATTGTGCTTCAGATGTCTAAGCTCAATCACATTACATATAAACATTTTTTTATTTTAAAGAAACACGGTCGGGTACCATATTGAGAAAAGTAACTACTCTATTCCAGGTTGGCTTGGGATGTGAAAAAAAAAATTAGAAGAAAGGTTCAGCAGATACGTTGTCCTTATGTGCTATGGGAAAGAGAAACTCTCACCTCATGTTATTTTGTTTCTTTAATTTTTTGATTACTCAGCAATTTTTAAGGATTAGGGTATTCCACAATAAGACATAGATCATCATATAATTTCAGAATCTAGCGATAGAATGGAAAAGAGATATGTCACTTACATTGGCAGGATTCATCGAAGGTCCAGTATAACTTGAACCGGCAACGACTGCCGAAACAGTTGCCATGGCAAGCAACCAATTCTTCACTAGTGGGTTGCTTGGACCCCTAAGGACTATGAGAAGGACAGCAAAGGTAATTGTGAAAGTCAAAACGCCCTCAGCAATAGCTCCAGTGTGCAGGTCAACCTTCAATGAAGGACCCCCAAGCATGTGTTTGTACTGCATTGGCATAACCTCCATAATTGCAAGAGCACCACCTACTGCACCAGCCGCCTGTCAAGGATAAAAGTAATAACTTTAGCATTTTCATTCCCTGCATAGTATACACTTAAATTGTGGTAAAATTTTCGTGTAAGTCACCAAAGTTTATTATTTGCAAACTCATTATTCATGTGTGCCTTTTATTTAAATTTGGTCGTTCAGTTCAAATCTGTTAGTTTTCTCAACTATATCATCTGTCAAGGGAGACCTCCTTTTTTTTAAAATCTTAAATTCCATTATATAGATCTAGCCCTAAGCAATCTAGATTTTCACAAACATATCATCGACTGACAATATTCACATACTAATCTACATTTGAATCAAGCAAGTAGGATTACATACTCTCAAGAAACATGATCAATATCTGACTAATCACATGATTCATACCTGGGCAGGAAAGCGGAGGGCAGCAGAGAAGAGAGAATCGGCGCCTCCAATACCAGCGGCATAGAAAGCAGCGATTGCAGTGGGATTGAAGGTGGCGCCGCCCAAGAAATCGCCGATGATGCCGAACACGAACAGCAGTACAAAAACAAGGACAGTAGTGACGAGAAGAGTGGGTAGTCCTTGGGATACTCCGAGAGCAGAAGCCACCACAAAAGTGAGTGCGCCCAAAGTCGATGCGCAAAAAACCCACATAAAAGTCAACACCCCATCGGCTACCGCTGCCTTTATAGCACCCATTGAAGAATTAGGTCGGTGGAAAACAGCAGATTCTGCAGTCAGGAGTCTACCCCTCTTCTCTCTCTAAGGAACTGAGAACGAGGGAAGGGAAATTTTGGATGATTCACCTACTCCATCTAACTAACTGTTCAGGAAATATATACTAAGCACAGATTGAGTGAATTCAAGCAGCGGAAGGTATCTCTTTGATTGGTAGTCACGGTAGTCAGCCTGGTTAATGAGTTACTGAACTTATAGAAAGCTTTCAATTTAGCCACTATACTTTAATTTGTTCTAAACTAATCATATAACTTTAAACCATGTTTTACATTAGTCACTGAATTTTAGAACATGTTTAGTAGTACTTATAAGATATTGGATTCTACAGAATATATAAATAATGCCGCCGTTTGACTACCATTAATTTTCATTTCAGTACATTTCATTTTTCTCTCTTCTATTTTTAACCACACAATTTTCCATAAAATAATATTGTACGTAAATTGAAAACTTTTCCTTCTTTTTCAACCATTCATTTTTCAAAAAAAATACTATTTCATCCATTTTCATTACCACAAAATGGGGGCCAAACGGAGGCAATAAGTGGGTAATGATTTGTGAATCCTACGACTGTTACTTACATGGATAAAAAGCACGATTGACAATTTAAATATAATTTATGAGTTCTGCAGAATGTATGGAAAATAAATGTAAGATAGTTGTGGGTCCGATAAAATTTGCAGATAAAAAAATTAAGCTTTGTCAAATATGAACTTAATTTGTTCCATATTAGTTAGATTACTATAAAATTTGTTTTGCATTGGTCACTTTATTAGCCTCCTTTCATCTTAGAAATTGATTAGCATAGATTTAAGAAGTTTTGAAGTAAATCCTATCTCTAATATGGAAAAATATATGGCATTTTGAGTAAATTTTGATTAGCAATGTCTGGTTTGGAATAAATTAAAGTTTAATCTTAAAGTTCAATGACTGGTTTTGAATAAATTAAAGTTTAATTATCAATACGCAACAAATGTTAAAGTTCAATGATTGAATTAGAATAAACTAAAGTATAGTGACCAACGTGAAACAAAATAAATTTAAACCACCGCTTTGGAATAAAGTAAAACTTGCCTTTAAGTTGGGCGAATAATTGAGAGTCAAAAGTAGTGCGCTAGTGGTATCCTGCAACGGATCACAGCTTTCCATATATATTAGGGAAAATTGCAGTTAGGGTCTCTAATCTTTTCAAAATGTCTAGTAAGTCCCTAACCTTCAAATTTTAACAGTGCCATCCAGTCTTCTAGGAAAATATGCAGTCGACGGGCCTTTAGACATCAGCCAGTGAATTGAACTTGCCGACTTTTTAGAGTATAAAATTGTCTCTTAATCCTTTTCCATATGGGCAGGATAAAGTAAATCCACCATTGTCCCGTCACAATTTTTGACAAGCCAAAAAAATAAAAAAGAAGAAATTGATTATCTCAATGATGTGGCAATGACATGTCAGCAGTGGACATTATAAACTTCTACTCATTGGGGGCAGGGATCATTTCTATCCATCCAACATATCTTCATCTTACACCTTTTACAAATCGTTCTGTCTCTTCATCTTCACAATTCCAGATAAGAAACTCCAATTTGATCACCTTTCTCGCAACTAGGGATGTCAACAGTTGAACCGAGTCAAATCGAGCCAGCTTGCGAGTCAAAACTTGAGGCTCGAGCTCGACTCGAGTAAAATGGTAGAGCTTTTTTTGGGCAAGAGTCGAGCCGAGTTTTGCTCGACCAAAAAACCTAGGCCGGACCCAAGCTTTCGATTGGGCCTTTCTAAGCTTGGCCCAACTCCTTTTGTCATTATTATTATAATAACTGTTGCCTTAAAAGCGATATTTTGTTACCTTAAACTGTCAAACCTTTTCACATTTTTTAAGGCCTATGAGCCCGAGTCGACAAACCACATGGGCTCGGTGTCACGGGCCTAGTTTCGTTACACCCGAACAAACTAGAGCCGTGCGGCCTTAACGCTCTACAATTCCCGCACCTCACGAGAAAACGTTAAGTCAGCCTTTCTACGCCCCCAAATAATTTAACCAATGAGGCTAAATTATACCCACGTTGAGAAGAGAATTTTGAAGTAAGTAATATATGGAAAACAAGTAAGGATTGGGGAAACTTTCTTTATATAAATGAAAGGAAAAACTTTACAATCTCTCTTGAAAGAATAAACTCACTCAATTCTACATGATTTACAAATGAGATTTCTACCTCTATTTATAGGCAAAACTTAAACCTCCTTAAGATCAAGTGGCCTTACTTTACAACCTATGCTTAGTTGTTTACAACTCGTTCTTAGTTGTCATCAAGTGGATTTGTTTACAACTTTCCTTGCAAGTTGTCGCCAACTCGATCTTAGCTTGCATAGAAGATATTATTCTTGCCAACTCGTGCTTAGCTTGCACCTTTGATAATATCTTCGCCAACTCGCGCTTAGCTCGTATCTTTGATAATATCTTGCAAGTGGCACAAGTGGACAAGTTGTGCAAGTTGCCTACTTGCACCCCAAAATATCCCGCTGCAGGTTCATGTATTTTTCCTCCAAAATGGCGGGGTCGGGAGCTAGAAAAACCTCATGAGAGTCCCGAAAAGTTGCACCATTTTAGGCAGCCTGCATTCTGCCCATTCCATCCTATTGCAGCGTGCGGTTCACGCTATTTT